TCTCTATATGTTGCCCTTCTTTCCCTTAAGAACTCATAACCGCATTTCTACATGATAGATCTCTTTTTCTTCTTACATTCAGAAAATTTGTAGCATTCATCATATTTAATTCACTCATCTTTGCTACGCAACTCTTTACGATTCAAAGTTGCCTTAACTTCAAAAAACATTTCTAATAATCGCCGGCCCTCATCGAAAACATCATTTACATGTCCATAATCTATATCCAAAATAGTTTTGAAAATATATTTTCATATTTTCATTTATGAATAAAAATATAGCATGCTATTGATTGAAACTAAGAAAATAACATCTTTTAATGATGACCATAAGCACATTAAGAGTTTTGGGGAAAAAAATTCAAATTAACAAGATTAAAATAAAATAAAAAAGATCATGAATGAAAATATAAGTATAACGTATGAATCTAAATGTATTGACATATTATAAAATGTTGGGTAAATTACAAACACCCCCTGAGGTATGGTCAAATTACAAAAACACCCCTCTTGTTTGGATAATTACAACCACCTCCTCAACTCCTCAAATTTAGTGGAATCTTCGAGATTATATGGAATATTATCACTTTTGTACCCGTTTTATCCCATTCAAACTCTATATGATGAAGCAAGATGATCATAATATGTGATGTTTAGCTTGTATATATCATTTTGTGGTGCATCAGAAACTGTATTTTTACACAAAAAGAGTACAAACTAGAGCACATTCCACGGAATCTAGATGATTATTTTGAATTTGGCACCATAGGGGGGAGGTGTAAGAAAAAATCATAGTTGAGGGGGGTAGATGTAATTATCCAAACAAGAGGGGTTTTTTGACCATACCTCAGGGGGTGTTTGTAATTTACCCTAAAATGTTAGATTTTATTGAAAAATAATATCAATATACTTCAAATAACTTAGATATTTTCAGTATCTATTTAATTAATTTTGTCGAATATATATCGAAAAACAGCACGATTTTTTTTAAATAAAACAAATCTCATAAATATACTGTGACACAAGACGTGCAACGCACGTCCACCTTCCTAGTAGTAGAAAAAACAAATACAATTCTATTCGGAGTAAAATTTGTGAAAACCTTTATCGCAACTTTATATGTTGATTTCTGAATAAAAATGTCTTATGCAGGTATTGCCGCATGTTATCAAAGAAACTTTTTTGAGAAAAAAGAAATAGTGAAGATCAGGTTCAATAATCTGAAATTAATTACTTGATTTATCAGATTTGTAATATCTTATTTTGTGTGCTTATAAAATAGCGGTAGATTTGTAATATGAGTATTCTTATCTTGAAGCAAGTAGTGTTTGCAAATTTATGAGTATTATGTGCTTATAGAATAAGTGGCAGATTTGTAATATACATTAGTAACTGTCAAACTTATGAGTATTCTGTCAAACATATATTAGCAAAAATAATATAGAATATGAGTATTCTGTTATACATAATTTGTAATTTAAAAAATTAATATTTTAGAATTATCTAGAATAGCACGTTTCATCTTCCATCATTAATGTGGAACATTCTCTGAAGACTTATCTTGCTTTTTAAATTCTCCATGTAAGTGTATTTTAAATGATCAAGAAAAACAATTAAAGAGCAGCAACTCAATTGTCCCCTAAAATTCCATTCTTGTTTGTTCATCTTCTTTTCCTTATTTATCAACAATATTCTTCCATATCAAAGGGAAAATCTATTTATCGATCTTCGGATGTGCCAACTAATTTGGCATCGGAACCACTATGTGGTTCCTATCAACCTTAAAAACAATGGCTGGAAATTCAGTCACCACTATAATCAAATATTCCCCAAGTGAAGTACCAATCTTTGAGAAAGAACATTACGATTATTGGAGTAGCGAAATGAGGGATTTTTTCATCTCTTGTGATCTTTGGGATGTGACTGGGATGGACTATCAAGAACCACCAGAAAATGCAACCTCCACAACCTGGTCAAAAGAGAAGCAACAAGAGTACAAAGAAAATCAAAAGAAAGATTGCACGGCACTTCGATACATTAGGCGACGAGTGAGCAAATCAAGCATTTTCAACAAAAGAAAGGCAAAAGAAGCTTGGAGTGTCTTGCAGGAAGAGTTTCATGGAAATGATAAAATTGTCTCCATAAGACTGCAATCTTTAAATGGAGAAATTTTGACGATTTATCGATGAAAGAAAGTGAGAAAAAATCAGATTTTTTGACGCGAGTCTCCAAAATTGTGAATCATATTGAAAGCTTTGGCGACACCATCCAGGATAAGAAAGTAATCGAGAAGATTTTTAGAAGTCTACCGGCTAGATTCAACCATTGTGTAGCAGCCATCGAAGAGTCGAATGATCTGTCAAAGATGACAATGCATGAATTAATGAGTTCGTTGCAAGCCCACGAACAAAGGATTAATCGGTTGGCAAATCAGCCCGTCGAACAAATTTTTCAATCAAAAGTCGTCATCTCTCGAAAATCAGGTAACACGCCGCAGCAAAGAAAGTACTCGTTTCACAAGAGTCAATTTGGACGAGGACGACATGGAAATGAACTAGCAAAGGAGAAGTACAAAGAGAAGCCGCAAAGATCATGTGATGGACCTTTCTACATTATTTACAACAAAACGAATCATAACTCAAGAGATTGTCAATTCAAGTGCGAGAGATGTAAAATTCCTAATTATTCACAAATGGATTGTTGGCTTCAAAAGAAGAACTCTACAAAGGAAAATTTTATCGAAGAAGAGAATGATGAAAAACTCTTTTATACGTGCCTGAATGCCGAATATGAGTCGTTAGAGGTTTGGTATATGGATAGTGGTTGTAGCAACCATATGACGGGGAACCGAAACCATTTTGAGCAGCTCGACGCTAACTTCGCCTCTCAATTGAAACTTGGCGACGGAAAAATGTGAAGTGTGTTAAGTGTATATTTTTACACTTTATCATATCTTTTAATTGGAGCTTTTGGTGTATTTAATTGATAATTGGTGCTTAAAGTGTTAATTTATTGTGTTTTAGGTACAAATTGAAGAATAGGATAAATAGAGGGTCAAAAATGAAATTTAAGAGAAAATATGAGCGAAAAGTGAAAAGTCAAAAGTTTGAAGAACAAGAGCCCAGACGGCTGTCAGAGAGATACAATTAGATTTTGGACGACCGCCGGAAACCCTCTGTGGAAGAATAAAGTCTCTGGAATTGAGACGGTCGTCTGGAATTTGAACTGAAAATCCAAACGGCCGACCGAGAAGGCGTAGATGCGCAGTAAAGGAATTCTAATTGCACAAGGAAACTGCCATTTTCTCCAGCTTTTCCACCCTATAAAAGACCAATTCAAGCACACAATTGGGAGTCCTCTTTTTACGCAATTTCAAGGGCAGAGAAGCAATAACAAAGAATTCGAAGACTCCAAGCATAGTTTTATCGTTTTCGATTTATTTTAATTTCGTTTTTACTTGAATCATGAGTAGCTAATTCTTTTATTTCTAGGATTTTATTTTGAAACCTATGTGGGATTTATGAACTCAATTTTATGATTTTATGCAAGTTTTAATTGCGTGCATAAAATTAACCATTTTATGTGCTTTTCTGTTATTATTAATAGCACGGAACATCGGGTTACTATATGGAATTGTGGTAGAAGAGTCTTTGTGGTATTAACATAGGAATAGTTAATCTCGTAGGTAGCCATCATTGAGATTTGTGCTACATGCTGTGTTCTAGAATTAATTGCGTAGGAATACAATAATTGAATCTAGAATATTAGAATCGTAATACACACGGAAGCGGGTTATGATTAATTTAGCATCTCATGTTAGTAATCCGATTTAATCACTTTCATAATTAAAGGAATTGGGGAATTAATAATCACATAGGGGGGAGAATAAAATCCTAGGCTTGTTTTCTCTGATTAATCTTCGTGTTTAATTGTTTTCTTGCTCTTGTCTTTTTAATTTGTTTTAATTTAGTTTAATTAATTTAGAATAATTTCTCAACATTCGACTGCGTAGGATGGGCTTGATCACAATTGGTAGGATTTGGCGTATATAATTAAATAGTTAAATATTCTTCATGGCATCGATACTTGGACTTAAAAATCAATTATATTACTTGTACGATACGTGCACTTGCGTGTAGGTATTACCACCAACAAAGTGCTCAAGGAAAGGGAACTATTTCTGTCTACACCAAGGGAGGTACGAAAAAACTTATTCTTGATGTTCTTTACGTACCTTATTTAACGCATAACCTTCTAATCGTTGGATAGCTGATGCGAAATGGATATTTCATTTCCTTTGATGATGACAAGGGAGTAATATTCGACAAGAAAAAGAATACGACTGTGGAAGTATATATGACTGAAAATAAAGTCTTTTCTCTTATAATGCCATCTAATCCTGAATTTGCGTTGAAAACCGAACAAGTTCGTGATTCTTATCTCTGGAATTTGAGATAGGGACATTTGAATATGAAAGGGCTGCATATTTTGAAGCAAAAGAAAATGGTTATCGGGCTCCCGAGTATCAAAGGAGAAGAGAGAGTGTGTAAAGGCTGCGTATTTGGAAAAGAATACACCGGTTACCTTTTCCGGAAACCTCATGGCGTGCTAAAGCTCCTCTCGAATTGGTTCACTCGGATGTTTGTGGTCTTGTTCGGACTCCAAATTTCAATCAAGAAAGATATTTCATTCTTTTTATTGACGATTTTAGTAGAATGATGTGGGTGTATTTTTTGCAAGAAAAATTGGAAGCTTTTTCGGTTTTTCTCCATTTCAAAGCAATGGCAGAAGGCAAAGTGGACATCAAATGAAGACTCTCCGGACTGATCGTGGGGGAGAATTTATTTATTCTCCGTTTATGAACCATTGCAAAGAAAATGCATTACAAGGCAGCTCACTGTAAGTCGTAGCCCGCAGCAAAATGGAGTGGCCGAACGGAAAAATCGTACGGTTTCTGAGATGGCGAGGAGCATGTGAACATTCAAAGGCCTACCAAACAATTTATAGGCTGAGGCGGTCAACACTGCCGTTTATATCTTGAACAGGTCTCCGACAAAAACCGTTCAAAACCGCACTCCGATAAACTTGAGAATTTTTGGCAGCATCGCCTATGCCCATATACCAGCTGTACATCGAGAAAAGTTCGACAAGAAGGGAAGGAAGTATTTGTTTATTGGCTATAGCGATGAGTCGAAGGGATACAGACTACTAAATCCCGATTCCAATCAATTTTTGGTTTCGAGAGATGTTATCTTTGACGAAACTGCAACCTGGGAGTGGAATGTTGAATCAATTCAACAACCAGCTGAAAATTCTGGTATCGTGGAACCATTATCAACTCGATGTGCTGATTCTTCTCCGCAAAATTCACAAGAAAATGCAACTCCAGTTTCACCAAGCACTCCTCAAAGGGAATCAGGCCCTAGTGAAATAAACGAGGAAGATTCAGACTCTGAAAATCAGGTGAGAAAAGTTCGTTTGTTAAAGGATATTTACAATTCTTGTGACATTGCTTTTTTCAGTTACGAGCCACAAAGCTTTGAAGAGGCAGCAAGGGGACATGTTTGGATTAAAGCAATGGGTGAAAGGGCACTCAAGAAACTCGGCAATTTTCTTCACGTTGAAACCAACATCCTCTTTCAAATCCTCATACTTTAGAAACAACACTTTACGAGGATTCTCCAAATGGGCATTCCAGAATCCAAGCACATTGTCCCAAAAGGGCCCCTTAATATGAATTCCCGTGCAAAACATGTCGAAAGCCTCGTCCAACTCGAGTGGGTTTGCATCTTTTACGAACTTGTTTTCAAGCGAAAAATGGCGATATGAGATGAACATATCCAAAGGGTTTCTGCAAATGTAGATAATCCTACATTCGGATTCGAGGATGGACATGGGGAGGCTATGGAAAGGCACGGAGTCGCGAAATTTTGAATGTTTTGGAGATCAGGATTTTCTTGATCCCTATAAAGATTGAATTGGAGGTCAAGAAAAAGATGGGGGTATGGCAAGTGAATAAAGGCTTTCATAATGATTACGGTAAATATTGCGATTGGCTATGGAAAAAGTGAGGGATTTCAACCAGGTGGTTCATGATTTAGGTAGGCTTGCCAATATTATATCAGAATCCTTTGCTTTGAAGTACTTTTGAGCCGACAATATTTGTCGGAATACATACAACGCACACCAAAATCCTTGGTATTTAACGAATACGACAACATCCCAACTCGTTTGTTGTTCGAGTTTTTTGAGCAACTCATGGAACTTGTGATCCTTTGAACAATTACCAATTTCTGCAAAAGAACAATTTTGTTCTTCTTTTCTCTACATTTATCAAAAGTTCAAAATATATTAATCCCTTAAGAAAAATGTTAAATACAAAGATATATGACTCTTGTTTGATTTTATAATTACCTAGCTAGCATGATGATTTTGTAGTTGGAAGTAATTAATCTTGACATTATTTCAAGATATGTGCCAAATAAATGATCAATCAATTCATTTTAGAAAGAGTTTTAACGTGTAGTTAAAATTCATATATTAACAAAGACATGATAATTAATGCACCCCATCAAAAACTCAACCATCATTACTACATATGTTTGATGAGTACAATAAAAGAAGATTAAGTACACAAAAAGAACACACATTTCAATCTCCTTATAATTAATCAGGTTTTAATTGAATCTACTTATACGTGTACGTTTATATATATCTAATAGGAGCTTAATTCTGCATTTGTCTATAATTGTATTAGGCGGAGATTATTACTACACTATAAAGAAAGTTAAAGCTCATTGGATTCTTAAAATCTTGAAATATACGAAGAGAGCTCAAGAACTACATCTTAGTTTTATATATATATATATATATATATATATATATATA